TCGCCACTTATAGGAAGTTATCCTTCATGCTGCAAAATCAATTGATCCATTTACATCACAGGTAAGATTAACTAGCCATCCTTTAGTAAATGGTTAGTGAAAGTTGAACAGACTAATGTAAGGAGTAAATATCAGGATAACAAGATTGGGGTTTGAGTTGCCCAGAAATCCAACAACGTTATCAGGCCAGTAGGTTCATATGTTATCACAGAATAATCCGCAGAAAAGGAACAATTGTATTCAATAGAGAAAGACAGCACAGAGGTAGAGAATTTGTCCTCGCTATTCTGGATTTTAGATAAACAAAATAAAAATTAAAAAAAACACAACCTGATAGCTGAGGCAAGATCCAAATCACATAATTAGGAGATCTAGCAGGTTGGTGGAATATATTTAAATAATAAAAAGTTGGACTAAAGAACAGATGCCCTCCCAATCTCAGTGTTTAATGATATGCTATATAATATTAAGATCAATTCTGATTTTATTTATTCCCTTGCTTGTCCAAGAGCTAACAATTATAAAAATTAGCCCTTTCAACAAATAAGTGAGGAATTCTGTATCCCACCGAATGATATTTTTAAACTACCTTTGAATTAAAAGGTAGTGTTTCAATTTATATGATTAAGGAGAGTAAAATAGACGGGATTATTCAATTTGTTGAATTAAAAACTGTAAAAATATACCGTCTAAATCTGTTAAAGACACAATAAACTCTCCGGAGCAATTGAAAAGTGGGAAAAGGATCTATATACAAATAGATGAGGAAGTTTGGAAGAAAGTTAGTTTAATTATATAACACAGAATTTGAAAACTCCATCCACCCGAGAAGTGATAGCACAAGTAACATGGCAAGCAAAAAAGGGAAGGCGGCATCTTAGAAAATCGCTAGACGCAAATCAAATATTGGGATACTGGCTAGATAAATTAGAACTTTTAAAATAAAAATCATAGAGGGTTTCTCATCCAGGTAAATGGAAGGAAACAAGGAGGGGGACAGAGATATGCATAAAATTATATATACAGTGTAATGAGGTGGCAATGGGTTTTCCCATATACCCTCCTTCCATGTCCGACAAAAGATGCAATTAAATAAGAAAGGGATGGATTGGTCAAACGGGCGTACAATGAAAAGGATAATGATAGTTTAGTCAGAGATGAGAGCGGTCTATCCCCCCAAACAAAAATAGGGAAGTTAGATAAAAAAGTGAGACTAATAGGGTTATTATAGGGAAAAGGTAGGGAAGAAACAGGGGAATATATGATGAAATAAAGGTTAAACCCATTAAGGTTTACTATAGTTAAGAAGAAGCATTGTATTAATGATGCTAGAAAGACCTCAAAGTTGCTTGTTGTATCTGATATTGTAAGGTAGTAAGGTATCTGATATATAACAAAAAAAAGTAAATATGCACCATCCTGAAATGAATGTGGATGGACATCAGGCTAAGACTAATATGGTTGAATAGATTTCATATTAATTGTGTCATGTATTCTGTTTGTATTTATTAATTGTCTAGATCAACTTTATTTTATTGTACATTTGCATGTTATATTTTATTTAAAAAACAAACAAAAAAACAACCTACCAGAGTTTTAAGTAGACTACAGGCACATGTCAGTGCAATTACTACAAGATGAGAAGAAAAAAAGAAAAAACTTGTTACAGTTAAACAGCTTTATCTTTCCCTTCTGGAATTTCTATGTTCATATATCCAGTTACCCACAGGTAGTACGGGAATCTACTGCTCTTCCCGTTGGGGCTGATCACATCAATATACTGGCAGCACCATGGGTTCTCTTTTGGGCCAGATTTCTCCTTGTACAGACGAACCAGTAGGATTTCTCCAATATCAAATTTAGTTACCTGAAAAGGGATAGAAGAACAAAAGTTGGGATAGGCTTAGATCCATTGTTTATTTGATAGTTTGTTTATATGCTGCATGGATACAGAGGATCTACATCTATTATGTTGTAGGACACCATAAAGACATAGAACAGGGGTATACATCTCCTTTAGTACCACAGATGTTTGGGACTGCATCTCCCTTGATGCTTTTCCACAATACCCATTTAGTAGATCTACTCAAACATGAGTTCATTAGTTATGCATTTTTTAATTGGGAACATATTTAAGACATCATTGAAAACCTGCAGACCCTCTTGTCTGAAACCTCTACAAGCCCACCCCAACAAGACGGATATGACCAGTCCAAGGCTTCAGTTACTGTGTCTGCAGTATACATGAGATGCTCCTGACACAAAGCACTTCAGCGAATAACCTGTGTATACAGGCCCTTTAACAGCCTGACCACCAGCTTTCCATTTATTATCTAAAACCCCCTGCCACCCACCTCCCCTCCATTAATATTCCCAGATAGTTACATAGTTACATAGCTGAAAAGAGACTTGCGTCCATCAAGTTCAGCCTACCTCACATTTGTTTTTTGCAGATGTATGTTGCTGTGCCTGTAAGCGGATACACAGAATGGCTACATTCACCATTCCAAGTTAACCTACCAACAGATCCAAATTTGGAGACAATGGCTACCAACCAAGGTTGCCACATTGACATTTTCCTGTACACTGTTCTTGATGGATGTGTTGCCCAGCAGTATGGGGCATTCATATATAGCAAGGGGAGTTATGCAGTCACAGAAGTTCCTTTGAGATTTTTCTTTAACAGACATTCAATAGCTGCATGTTGGGCAGGACATAAGTGCTACCAACCAATAAGAGTCAATGGATTTCTAGTTTATAGTCTGTTCGTTATTCAAGGAAACTCCTCTAAAGGAACACTTCAGGCACCACATTAAACACTGTAATCATAATGGTGCTTGGAGTGTGCCTACAAAGTAACCTTTTAACAGTGTGAGACAGGTACAAGAGACCATAGTCCCATGTCTAAGGACCATGTGGTCTGAAACAAAAGGAAGATTTTATTTTTGTTTCCAGTTTGTCTATGTATCTTGTAGAATAAACGTCTCTTTTTTTGGATTTGGAACACTTACTTTTCCTGGCATTTTTGGATTACATTACAAGAGACCACAACCTAGCACATTAATGGGCATTCTGAATACCCCAAAAGCCCACACACAAACAGAAAACAAAAGTTATTTCTGAATACCCTTAGTGAAACATGAGTGAAGCCTGATGGGAGAGAATCTAGAGATGTCTCTAAGTGATTGCTAAACTTACATGCGTTCAAGGGCACCCCTTAACTAAAGTCCATCACCCACTGGGACTACACTAACGTAACTAGAGATAGTTAAAAAAAAAGTCACGAAATACCCAACCCCTCCATGAGATAATGAAAACTAAATCAGAATATGTAACAGTTAAAATACTTTAAAAAGTGTATATATCGAAATTTGTCTAGTACTGCAGCATCGTCCCATATCATAGGAGCACCAATACACAAACCGTCCCGATGCGTGTAGTCAGGGGAACCAGGTGTCACGAGACCAAGGGTTTATATCGGAATCCTCCGTCACTGATAGGGTGAGGTTCTCCACGAATCTGGGATTATGTAAACCTAGGTGAGAGGTTTACAAATTCAAAAGGAGGTATCTGCGTAGAAACTTTTGGTAAGCAATTACATTAACCAAATGATGTTTGAAAGGGTCGATGTGTAAGATGCTAAATCCTGCTGATCGGAGTGCAGAGCATTTACATTCCTAATAGCTGAATGTAGGTGTACAATTAAACCACTAGATGAGAATTACAAATAGATGTCAGTCATTATTAAAAAAAGGGTCTAGTCCCATAAGTTTTCTGTATATAGTTATGGTAGGTACAACAGATTAGAACATGACTTGTATGTGACCATAATAGGTTGTCTTAGAACTGGGTTTTGGTGTATTTTAACACCCATGGTGGGTATTATGGATGATGTAAGGTAAAGCCGGATGTTCAAGAGACAGGCAGACAATGACTAATGTTATTATATCCGATACTTGCCATAAGTCTAGGGCTATAAAGTCCAGAGAGGCTTCAATGTTAGAAGAGGGAGGGAGAAGAGAGATAATAAATCTAAGGCAAGTATACCAAATTTGGAAGAAGGTTTATTAGAACGTAAAATTGAAGATTAAAGTGGGCACAGCATATTCCTTAAAGTGGTCACTGGTCAAACATAGTATTAACATACTATCTCAAAGATTTTATGAAGGGTATTGGTATATGCAAGGTTAGACTAAAAGTAGACTGTCACGAGAAGACTTCTGGATAGTCGGTTAAATTATAAAAATGTACCCATCTCAAAGGCGTGTCACGTATGGATGAGTAAAATTAAACTCCTCACTAAGTCCTTTGGGGGACAATGTTTGAAAGCGATAAATCCAAAACGACTGCCTTTAGTATTTTCACAGTGCTGCCATCAGAAATTTTGGGGCCCTTCCAAATCCCATCCCCAAAGTACGCCTCCAAGTCTCGCCCACAGGAATACACTCACGCACAGATACAAATGGACACAGCTACACATACTAAAACCTACATGAGTGAGAGTCACTTACTGAAGCTGTATGTAGGCCAATATGCATTTACGACAGACATACTGAAGCCTAGGTGTGTGCCATCTAATTTTTCAGCTACCCCGGTTTACCTTTTGTTACAGGCGGGTGGCTGGGGCTAATGAGAGTTGGCTGTTTGTTTTATGGGCCAATCTAATTTTTTGTAGGTTGTGTCCAATAGCACCTTTGCATTAGTAGTAAAAAAAATTATATGTAATGGAAACCTTCGCTCCAGGTGTCAACTCCGTGTAACTACATAACAGCCTACACCCTGCATATATAGATCATTTGTTCAAGCCAAATGCAAACTAGAACCCAGCTACTGCAAAACCACCACCATTTTTGCCAGGGCTAGACCTTGGGTCATTTTATCTAGATTGTAAAAGATGTGGTATGAGATCAGTAGGAAGAAAACCCATGCAGGTTCACTGTATAGCATACAGTCTCCATACACCGTAAGATGTGTAAGTTTACTATAAAATAGGGGAGCTTTGGATTTCTCTGCTGGAATGAAAGCTACAAGAAACAGGATACGGATGATTTTTATTTGCCTCAATTTACAACATCCCAGACCTGTATATCCGAAGGCATCCATAACAGATTATGCAATGCTAGAGATACACAAAAAACAATAAGAGCCAAAGAAGGACCAGTCCCATTGATTTCCCAAGGCAGACATTGAGAGTGCCTGCCAGTCATGTTGGGTTTGCTGCCTTGTTGGTATAGATGCCATTAAATAGAGACACTGCTCTCAGTAAGCTTTGGGTCCAGATACAGGTACTGCAGCTTCACATTCTGGTTCCTTGCCTTGATGTCCTTTGAGATCTGATCCAGTTCACGCTGGAATTCCTTAACATGTTGCTGTGGTTTCTCTTCTGTGAATCTCTCATTGGTGTAGTTTCCTAGAGGCCTCTGGAAGGGAGAAATTTTGGCTTATTATGCTATAGATGCAAGTTTATGCTCAGATATTGATACAGAGGTGTACTATATAACAAATTAAGATTTCTACATTGTCATGAGGCCCCACATGTAGTTTGTGGGTCAGAGGATAGCCTAGGTAAGTTAAAGCAGATATGAATGCCTGTGTGTAGATTTAGTTACAGTGAGTAGAGGTTCTAGGATAATCTATGTATTAACAATTATGTTGACTACAAGGGTTGGTTGGAGATGTAGCACTGAAGGTTGCCTATCCCTTGTAAGAACAATCCTGATACCATTAGAATTAAGGTTTGTCAACTAGGTCTCAGTTATCAATGCAGGATGGATTTGCTAGACAGCGTAGTTAGCAGTTTTGGATCCCATTCTGGATAAGAGACATGTCAGACAGTTGACACCAGTAAGAGAGAAGAGGTCCAGGCACATTAGAATAGAAGGAATACTGTCAAGCTTGACAGAGACCCAATCTTGAGTTGAAACATTGAAGTGTTCCTTTTCTTCTAATAAATGTGCCTGGACCTCTTCTCTTGTGTCCACCATAGTTTGGTTTGTGCTGGCCCATGGTCTAGTTTAGCACCTTTTGGCTTGTGTGGATTGGGCGCAGTTTCTATTGCCATTTTGTAAGACAGTGGACACCACACATGCAGAGGTTAAACATGAAGCACAAAAGAAAGGCCAAGTACAATAGCCTCACTTCCAGTCTTTGAAGGTAGACAATTATACATGAATTGTTTTGGTGTAGTGCGTGGTCTTTTCACCACTTGGGATAGGTGCTGCATTTAAGGGGCTTTTATTGATTTCCTTTTGGGTTGTTTTCTCTGCAATTTATTGCTACCTGAATCCCATGGCACGCCATAGAGCAAACTGCTTACCAGTTAATGGGTGCTGTTCCTCAGGAGAGATAGTTCTGAGAATACTGCAGGGTTAAGATAAATCTTTAAGTCGTATATTGAAATTTAGGGTTTTGTAAATTCATCCTGGCATATAGTTTAGGATGGAACACAGCAGGGTGTGCGATTGTCCTTCCACAGGTTTGCTGAAGCCTGGTTGGTGAAGCCAAGTTTTATTAAGGGATTGGGATTTGACAGGTTTTCACAAGTTAATATGAAAGCATTTTAACTAGAAGTGTTAGTTACATCCAGCTCTTTGCTTCCCACCCTATGCATGGGAAACCCTGGAGAAGAGATTTCATGAAACCCATCCAGATAAGCCATGAGAGTGATGATTCAGAATACACAGAATTATTCAGAATACCCACCTTGTCCTCTGGTTCATGGCTGAGCAGCCACACAGTAGCCATGGCCAGGGTAGTTGTATTGACTTCAGGTAAGGTATCCAAGATGGTTTGATAAGTTGCCCCTTTCCTGGAAGGAGGTGGCTTCCTCATAGATGAGGGACCATTGGGCATCCAACCATAAAAGTCAAACTGTTATGGGGAGAAAGTCACAAGTAGCAGATTATAGAATTTTTAATATGCATTTTAGCCACTTGAAAATACAAGATTGCTGCACCAATCTACAGTCTCTAGGTTTAAACTTCAATAAGACAAGTGTAGGGGAGTACTACATGTTTGAAAGACATTTAGACAACATACATGAGCAGTGGCAGAAGCAGCATGTCATCCTACTGCAACATGACATTTGCCTTTGAAATTAGAAGTAGATAGACTGCCATCTTAAATGTTGAGTGCTATTCCATCTGGACAAAGTAAGGTTGATCATTCAGTTTAGCCAAAATCATTGTACTTTATAACATGGATGATCCTGCTGAGATTTACAGAGTCATGGTTTGGAAATACACAATAGAGTGACAGGATAGACATGCAAAGCTAGTGGCCATTAAATACACAGTATAGTATGCTCTGTAGCAGGTTAGTGCTCCTTGCATGTACAGATTCACCAGTTTTGTTGAGAGTACTATGACTCAATGTGAAATTGTGACAGCCAATGCTACATTGTAAGCCACTAAACATGCATTTCACAAGGCACCTTAGAACCTCCCAGCATTAAAGGAGTGCAATATGTGTGCCCTAGCAACTTTAAATGATACAGAATTGCCAAGACATTTATACCATTAAAGAAGCACTACCAAAACCACAGCTCCTACAGTGGGCCAGGAGACCTGTGGTCCCATTGCTTGTGGGGTTGAGGGGGAAATTGGTAATCATGGTTTACAGTTTGACCCTTAGTCAATTGTCTCCTTGATTCAAGGTATCATGCTGCTTTAGATACATGTAGGGAGACTTTTGGAGTGTTGAGAGTTAGCTGGAAAAAAATTCACAGGAACTTGGCTGATCCAGGCAAGTGGCAGACAATATGACTCCTTACAGAAGGTTGTATGTAATATATAAAGGAGAACTGAGCAATGAGAAACTAATGCACTATCCAATCCCCAAACACTGTTTTCACTATGCCCAACATATTCCAGAAGTCTGCACATTTTAATCACTCACCTGGCCACTGTTGACAGCAGCATGTTGCCCAGAACATGTGAAGATCACCATGGTCAGGTATTTAATGAGCTCATCCCGGGTACCCAAAGAAAAGGGAATTCCTGTAGGCACAGATTAAGGTATTCCATGAGATGCATTTTAACTATACCTGTATCAATATAGGTATTACTATTCAGTTTATTTTGACTAAAATAACCCTCAGGTCTTCAATGTGATCAAATGTCAGCAAACATTTATAATTTCCCAGTTCTAGCCATTTTAGGATTTAAATTGCCTTTTCCCAAAAAGCTAGCTTTGGCCTTTTAAGAGCAATAGTTAGGCTGCTAGTAGCATCGGCTAGAAGAGGTTACATATATTATGGCATGACCCTAGAAGGCAGATACCCAGTTATTCCAGACAAAATCCACATTATACTTTGCCAGGCGGATTAGTGAACAGGATCTCTAGAGACCAAGTGATTTAATGTGCATACCCAGTACATGACCATGAAACATTTAGGCTATATCCCACCCATAAGCATATTTACCAGATGATTTACGTTCCAAGAATCCTTCCTTGAAGACTTCTGCTGCCCAAGCTTGAAGCTCAGGATCTTTAGTGACCATTTCATCACTCTTGTAATAGTAGTTGACAATGCTTGACACCAGCCTGGTTCAGAAGAGAAGCCGATTTTAGAACGGGGTAAAGAATGGTGGTATTTACACCTGAATTCCCATACGTTGTACAGAACTAGACCTGAGCATAAGCCGCACTACAACCTTACACCTCAATACCCTGGGAATTTACTATAGTGAGAGCCAAGTTTTAAATATTAATTTAAATGATTCCCTGGGGCTGGTAGTCTTTGTTATGTGATTAGACAGTTGAGATGGTTTGATTGAGTAGAGCAAGGCATTACCTCTCCACAGCCTTCCAGACCTTCATGCCATCTTCTCTATAGTAGTAATTTGGAATAGAATCCACTCCTCTGGCTTTGATATTGTCAGGGAGACACAGGGCGCTATAGGTAACATCTCCCAATGCTTTTCTAAGCAGGACAGGTACACCGCCATTTCCTGTTACATTAGACTGAGGAGAAAGAGTGACATTATAGAAGATGAGAAAGATCTAGACCAGTGGTTCCCAAACCAGTCCTCATGGCCCACCAACAGTCCAGGATTTGTTTATTTCCCTGTTTTATTCCAATGGAGATACTAGCAAAACCTGGACTGCTGGTGGGTCTTGAGGACTGGTTTGGGAAACGCTGATCTAGACCATTAGAACAGACTGCATTGTCCATTTAATACTAGAAGCTAAATTGGTCATTGTCAGTCACCACAAGATATTCTATAGGCAACCAAAACAAAAACCCAGTTGGAGTTTTAAAACTGGATAGGGTGGCAAGAGGACTATTGATATTAGTCAACGTTACAAGTTCAGCAAGAATTCCATAGTGCATATCTCAACTCAAATGAATCCTTGGTGTCTGGATACATACCCAAACTTTGGAAGACTGCCTATCCATAAAAGTGGTGACACTACTTTGGTTTCTAACTATCGCCCAATATCATTGCTCCCGGTATTGTCAAAAATCTTCGAAAAATGTGTCCATACGCAACTTTGTTAGTACTACCAACAATTAAACTGACCCCTGATCAATCGGGCTTTCGCCAGAATCACTCCACTACAACTGCCCTCCTAAAAGTTTGCAATGACATCCAAACTGGCATGGAACAAGGAGCCCTAACTGGAGCTATTTTCCTTGATTTTGCTATGGCCTTTGACACAGTAGACCATGACATTCTACTGCACAAACTCGAAAACTCAGGTATTGGTAATCATTCTTTAAACTGGTTCCGATCGTATGCATCGGATCGCTCGCAATATGTGTCCATTTCTGACAGTGACTCCCTCCCTCTCCCGGTCACGTGTGGTGTTCCCCAGGGTTCCATTCTCGGGCCCCCTACTATTTACATTTATAAATCTGCCTAGTGTATGCAGATGACACGGTAATCTAGGCGAGCAAACCCGATCTACCGCAACTTGAGGCTTTGCTCCAAGACCAGTTTACAGAGGTAGAAAAGTGGATCGCAAAAAACAAACTTCCTGAACACTGACAAAACTGTCACAATGATCTTTGGAACAGTACCTAAATTACACAATCCCCACCTATCCATCAAAACAAATTCAAATGGCACACTGACCGCAGTCCACTCTTTTAAATACTTGGATATGATATTAGACCCCAATCTTTTGGCCTACACATAGAAAAGCTTGCATCTAAACTTTATCCAAAATTAGGTGCCCTGTACAGAAACAAAGCCTGCCTAAGCCCTACAGTAAAGGAAAAGATTGTACAGCAAATGCCAATCATTGATTATGGGGATGTAGTATATGCGTCTGCATCGCGATCCCACATTAATAAACTCACATTGTATAACTCGTTCTGCAGATTTGTGCTACAATGTAATTACAGGACCCCATCATTGGGACATGCTAAAGGAACTAAACTGGCTGTCGCTGGAATCCAGACGCACCCTTCATCTTTCCAGCCTTGTTTTTAAGAGCTTTTCTGGGAAACTCCCACCCTACCTGAACAAAATGCTTTCCCCAGATGTTCCCACTTTCTATAAGCTCCGATCCAGTACAAGCACTTTAGTCTACCTCAATACAAAAAGAAAGCGGCCCGATCCTCCTCCTACAGAGCACCGCAATTGTGGAACGGCCTCTCGCACAATTTAAAATCTTCCCTAAGCCTAAAGTCATTTAAGAGATCCCTCTCTACATACCTCAAAACAGAATGCACGTGTCATGGTTGATTATATATTTCCTGCCTGTTCTATGTTACATTTTGTATATATTGTGTATTAATATTGTTTTTGTTGTACCTAATGTAACAATGCAATGATTTGTGGACCCAGGACATACTTGAAAACGAGAGAAATCTCAGTGTATCTTTCCTGGTAAAATATTTTATAAATAAAATATCTGACCTAGCTAGATCTGAAGGCAACTGTAGCGAAGACTCACCTGATCAAAGATGCCTCCAGGGCCTAGAAGCTCACTTCTGGCAAGGGTATTGATTTCCAAAGTATAACGGAAATGGGGAACAAGAAGCTAGGAGAAGAGTAGAGCATTAGCTTCATAGTAAGCTTATTCACGCTGTAATAGATTCCTTCTATTGCATTACTACATATGGCTTGAAGATTTATTCCAATTAGATCAAGCAAGCTAGTCAGCAGCTAATATACAGTCACCAGTTTTGTTTAAAGTACCATGACTCAATGTGAAATTGTGACAACCAATGCTGCATTGTGAGCCACTAAACATGCATTTCACAAGGCACCTTGGAACCATATGATTGAACAGTTTGCAAGAGAAGTCATCCTACGTGTTAGTGTCTGGATCACTGCAACATGGTCAGTGAGAAGAGCATATATTCACCATGGTTCACTAGAGGTCAAGGAATCCATTTCAGAGTTAGTTTGTTAGAAAACTGAAAGTTATACATGGTTGTCAAGTTACTTTTCAAAGCAATGTTTTATTAAGACGACCAGTTGACTTTAGACAGTCTTAATCCAGCACTAGGCATAGAGCAAGGATAGGCAACCTTTGGCACTCCAGATGTTGGACTACATTTCCCCATGATGCTTGTGTTGAGAAGTGTGTCACCTGAATTGAATTACCAATGGCAGCAGTTGTTTCAATTATATAAAGCTGCAACCAAATGCCACAGCACAATCTTGGTCTACATTTTGCAACACTGAATAAAACAGGTAGGTTCTATATCAAACCACTTTCTACCTTAAAAAGTAAGGGTATTCCACTGTAGGATATTTTCTACCATATTAACTTTTCATTCCCAGTTATAGCTCAGAATCTTGATTCAGACGGTGTCCAACATTGATACAGATTATTGCACTGACCAGAATTATTAAACAAATCTCTCAATGTTATGCAACAGCCTCCTTGTTGATTAGACATTCCTACCTTGTAAACTGGATGTCCAATTGGAAGTTGTCTGGAGGTTGCAATGCTAAAGACCTCAGCAAATAGGTGGGTGCAGAGCAGATGAGGTCCAGCCTGATGCACCTGAAATTCTGTATTGCGCACCCACATCTTAGCAAGGGTCCAGTCCCATTCTGGATCATTGGGAAGGAAGATTGGGTTTTGGGGTCCTGGGACTTGTCCCAACTGAAAGAAGCGAGACAAGTGACAAACCACTTTAGGGTATCACTGCCAAGAGAGAACCCATCATGTTTACCTGCCAACATTTTAAATGGCCAGATTGGAACACTAGTCTAAAAGGTGGGGCCGTTGTGAGAACTTTTAGGTGACAAATGTCATTTCAAGACGATGTTATTTACAGACTGATGTCACATTTATTGTAGTTTAAAGACACTTTACTGAAAGTATAGCTGAGGAGCTATGTTATACAGAGACAATATGGAGCTCATAAGAAAGGGACATTAGGCTTGAGATGAGCAACTGAGGGATATAAAAAAAAATTTAAAGTGAGGTATGCATGTTTCTGTACAAGCCTGAACATTGGGCTTTATTGTATTCATTGCACATTACAGTACCACTACACAGATGGCATAAACAAGGTTTTCCCAAAAGTCACTTTGGAGTTACAGATCTGTGTGCTATCCACACACCACCTCTTGTAGCAAACCGGGGCACATTAGATTAATTCCTCAGATCTTTGACAGGCCTAAGCTACAAGAAACTAAACTGGAGTTCCAGATAAGCGTGTTAGATAACTGCATAATGCCAAACTATTGTGGGTTCAGACAATGAGCTGCTTCCCGATTTTGTATTTTAGAAATTTGTCACAAGAATGACAGACACCAGTTTTAGAACATTTCTGTACAGCACCCCACCCCAAATACCATTTCTAGTCCATTTAGAAGAAACCACCACTGTGATCCAGCATACCTGGATGGCTATTGGGAGGAGATGATCCAGAGGGTTTTTCCACAGAAGGCATAGAGGAGCAGTGAGGTATTGCTGCTTGCCATTAATGACATTTGCAGGGACTCCATCCAGAACCTTGTAGTCAGCCAGAAAGACATTACCACTCTGAAAGAATATGGTGAGGCTGGGTTATATGAAGGGCCATTTTAGCCATTTGGCATGTGCATTTGTTTTAATGCTAAAATTTACACAGTGAAAAGAAAAAAAAAAAAAAAGTGGAATTGATCTGTGGAGCCATTTGGTTTATGATGGCAAATAACGGCTTATCTATTAAGTAAAAAAAAACTGCAAAATTGAGAAAGTCTTAGTTTTGACAATTGCTTCCCAGTTTGCCATTTTGCATATCATACATTCACATGCAGCAAGTGCTATATTGCAAGTTACAGGACTAGAACCAACAATTCCCCCTTTCCATTAACGTTGGAATATCACAGTACTGAAAGACGTGTACCTTCTGTTAGTTTAGTCAATGTGACTGGATTTGTGTTTGAAGTGGGGTAGGTTACTGCAAGTTAGACCGTGTGAGGTTTATCCAGATACAAAGATTGATTTATTAATCTCAGCAGTATATAGAAAGATTATAAATCCATCTCACAAACCATTGTGAAATTCACTACCAGTAAAGGATAAAAATCCAACCATCTAAGCCCCATTGAAGAACCCTGTTCACTTTGTACTGTAAGAAAGGCTCACCTCCAATTCCTTTTGGAGGTTTGTGGTTGTCCCCAGAGAGGCAGCCACCATCTCTTGAACCACTGGGAAATGGTCAGGGATTTTGGTGCATTTTTGTAATATCACAGGGCATACTCCATTCAAGTATTGGTAACCAAAGAAGGAGTCCTCCTGCCACATCTGTGTCACCAGTTCTGTGGAAGAAAGACCAAGTATTAATATTGGAGGTGGCAAGAATACAAGGAGTTTTGCAAGAATTAAGACAATAGGTTAAGAGGGCTTTAGTGTCACAGCAAGAGTCTATGCAATATATTGATTTGGCCAGCATTCCAGTGTTCTGTCAATATGCTCTGCCCCCACCATAAAAAGCTTCCCAAGAGAATAAAGAATGAACAAACCAGAGTTATGGGTCTTTTGGTACAGGAAGACCTTTTTGATATCCTTAAGATCAGTCCAAGGGTCTTTGGATTGGAGGAAGCCTCTGAGCTGCAGTTCTAATCCCCTGTTAAAAATAAAGCCATTAAACAATATAATCCTGGTGTGTTTGAGAGTCACACATGTATAAACCAGATAAAGACCAGACCCAGCTAACTGGATCTGATGTTCTTAAGAAGCCAGCCATTGCTGGCAGTATCCAGTTTTGTATAGAAGCCTCAATACATACGTTGCAACCACAGAGAAGCCAAAATTGGCGTATTTCTGGAAGGAGTATTTTGCATCACAAGGAAGATCTTTTGAAGATTCAGCATCAATACAGTGAGGGGCGCCTTCTGCATAGACCTTCCACCTGCAAGGAGGAGACCTTTAGTTGTAGCATATATAAAACCCTCTTAATATCAGTATTTAGCTACCACTCCCAGAAACCTATGTTATATGGAGTGAGATTCAATATGTTTATTACCAGTATTAATAAAGCAACAGATTCTGCAGTGTTGTGCAATTAGTGGAGGATGTACAATATACACAGACAAATAAAAAAATAAGAAGTTAGAGGGCCCGACATTAGAAACTGGCTTATTGGCTTACAAAATACCAGAATCACTACAGTTTGAGGGGAAGAATATGGCATAACATGAGCCCAATGATTGCTCTGCGATATGGTGAGCTCACAGCAGAGACAAAGACTAGACGTTTGCAGCAATTGCACAAGCTACATGTAGTCTACATACATTTAGCAAGATATTAAACTAGTTTATACCACACCAGCTCAATGGAAAAGCATAAAGGTCTAAAAAAAAAAAAAAAAATTAAAAAAGGGGAATATCTCAGTTTCAGTAAGCATTTACTGGGTTCATGGATTGTAGCCTCAAATCAGTGTAAGATAGTGGATGGTCAGTCCAATATATATACACATATATACATACACACAAACGTTACCACAGCTTGCTCCTTGCAAGTTAACAATTGTATTCCAAAAATGATAGAATATATGCTAAGTCAATGATTTGTCCATCAAGACCTTGATAGTGTTTTGATTAACAGAATGGGTTGATTACCAACTGTTGGCATACAGTGACTAGCTCCATCACAATTGCAGCCGATCAGAAATACTGCTCATTTTGGAATAAGTGTTTTGTAGACTAGCAAGTAGTGAGCAGAGCTTAGTCTGCATGTAAGCAAGATCTGTTAGTTTGTATGGTCTTACAATGCTACAGTGTGGGGTTTGCTTTAGATACTTGGCTTTTATAACGATTGATTGAAGACATGTTTTAATATAACCTTACAGACTATGGAGTTGTGATCTAACCCCATTAACACTCAGTTAAAGATATGGCTGTAGCCGGTCGAATAGATCATTTTGCCTTCAGGACCGTTTTATACCAGCCTCACGTGATAAGCAAGGTTCAAATATGGCCAATGTACCAATAGGCAGCAGACACCATGTAGGTGTGATGGCCATTCTGGTTCTATTCTAGGTTTCAGATTACCGTATTGTAAAGTTACTTTACATAATATATAGAAAGCCCCAGTAGGGCACTAAAACCGCATTAGGAAATCCATAGAACAAGAGTTAAAGAAACCCAGAGCACTTTGGATATATTTCTGACATGCAGTTCGTAAAGCCAGTGTCACTTACCTATAGCTTGCTCTATTCCTTTCCAGCTCGACCTTTCTCTGCTGTACAAGGAGGGGGTTCACATCTCCAGTCAAAATGATCCCTGGCAAGGGAAAGCAGAGAGGGGTTACACACCAAGTGAATTAATCCAATGGCTGAGACTGCCAGTTTGCAAGCATTAGTAAGATTCCATGAGAATGTCCATATCCCTCAGGTAGCTTAGACGCCTTAGATTATCCTTCAAAAGCATTAACAGTTGCTGAAGAGGGTTGTCTATGGAGTTGGTTCTAAGACAGTCTGCAATTTGTGAACAGTGAGATTAAGCTGTGGGTCACAGGATATTTAAATGCCCGTATTGCTACAGAGATATTGAGCCATCAAGACTACAAATCACAGAGGACCGTTTACAAATAGAGCCATTTAGTAGATATACATAAAGCATTTTTAAATTGTGGGATATATCTAGAGACAGCAGGCAACAGCTGCAGATCTCTTCTCTGCAGCATTTGCAAACCCTCCCCTTCTATCCCAGCGCAGACTTTGTGGCTGCTCAGTCAGAAATCTGAGCAATTGCTACATCTTTAGTTTATCTTCACAGAGCTAAAAACAGGAAGTAATGGGATCGGTTGCATGGTTAGGAGCCAGTGGGTGTAACAAGGTCAATTTATAGCTAGAGTACTTTAGTGGGTAAGGAGTTTCACGCAAACCCCCAAAAAAACCCACATAGACAATGTTAATGACAGCTTTACCTTTCCCTTCTGGAATTTCTATGTTCGTATATCCAGTTACCCACAGGTAGTACGGGAATCTACTTCTCTTCCCGTTGGGACTGATCACATCAATATACTGGCAGCACCATGGGTTCTCTTTTGGACCAGATTTCTCCTTGTACAGACGGACCAGTAGGATTTCTCCAAGTTCTCTTGGGCTGCCAATATCAAATTTAGTTACCTGAACAGGGATATAATAACAAGAGTTGGGATAGGCTTAGATCCATGGTTTATGTGATGCTTTTTATTTGTGCTGCATGGATAAATGAGATCCACATTCATTATGACAAGACCTCCCTGTTAGAACTACAGATGTTTGTTACTATCCCCTGATGCATTTCCACAACACCTACTTAGATCTATGCAAACATTGGTTCATTTAGTTATTTTTATAGTTTGTTAACATCTTTGATATTTTGAAAAGCTGCAGATGCTCTTGTCTGAAGCCACTACAAGATCTACCCTTCTAGCCCAGCCTGACATGACCAGTCAGAGGATTCCCATTGAAAAGCCTAATTTTGAGCAACAAGTGTTTATACTTGCAGGCACATGTGCTACTTTCTAGGTAGTCATGGAGAAGTGTGTAAAGTCAGCCCTGTTGGGCACACAGGCTTGCCATGACTTGGGGAAACATGAAGGCAGGCTTGCTCAAATAGAACTAATGGAATCTTGACGGTAACCTTCCTGTCCGATTGAAAGCCTGGGAGGTGTGTCTGCAGTTTACATAAGAAGCTCCTGAGCTAAGAACCTGTGTATACAGGCCCTTTAACAGCCTGACCACCAGCTTTCCATTTATCTAAAACCCCCTGCCACCCACTTCCCCTCCATTAATATTCCCAGATGTATGTTGCTGTGCCTGTAAGCGGATACACAGAATGGCTACATTCACCATTCCAAGTTAACCTACCAACAGATCCAAATTTGGTGACAATGGCTACCAACCAAGGTTGCCACATTGACATTTCCATGGACACTGTTCTTGATGGATGTGTTGCCCAGCAGTATGGGGCATTCATATATAGCAAGGGGAGTTATGCAGTCAAGGAGGTTCCTTTGAGATTTCTCTTTAATGGATATTAAATAGCTGCATGTTGGACATGATAAGTGCTACCAACCATTAAGTCAGTGCATTGCTAGTTGAGAGTCTGTTCGTTACTTAAGGCAATTCCTCTAAAGGAACACTTCAGGCACCATAACCACTACAGCTCTAGTCATGATGCTTGGAGTGTGCCTACTACATAATCTTTTTAACACAGAGTATATGACAGGCACAAGAGACCACATGGTTTAAAACATGTAAGGAAGATTTTTTTTAGCTTCCCCTGTTTGTCTATTTACCTTGTAGAATAAATCTCTATGGATTTGAAACACTTGCTTTTCCTGGCATTTGTTTTTTCTTTGCATCACAAGAGACCACAACCTAGGACATTAAGGGGAATGACAGGTGCAATCCCCCCCAAAAACCACATTGACACTAATGTCTGGGGTCAATATGTCCACAGCTTTAATAATATTGATAATAAATTAAAGTCATTGCCCATCCACAATATAGCATCATATGTCCCCCATAACAAAAGGAAATGAACCATCATTTCCATAAATAGACAAAGTAAACATAACACAAGTGCCAAACTTTGTTAAATAACCACGGTAGGGGTATACCCCTACCACCCACCAGGTTCTGAGCGACCACCAAGCTCAAATGCAGTTTAACCACCAGCCTAAATGCCCTATTCTATTTACACTACCCCAGAGCCTGTTCATCCCCTAACTTCTCTCTAGCCCCACCAGGGTGACCAAATGGGAGCAAACAACCTTTACAAAATGGGAGGAACAACTTAGGCCAGGTAAGCAGATTAAAAGTGCCTACTTCTAAAATGGCTGCCTATTTATACTAGGCCGACCCCTTAACTAACTCCACTCCCAAAAAGGGACCTTCCCCCTATGCCCACCTCCTAGCTCTGTCAAGCCCCTTTCCATTAAGCTGTGCTTGGTCCATAGGGTTACAGTCTGAATACCCAAAAAGTCCACACACAAACATAAAACAAACACTCACAGATTTAGCAAGGAATTTATCTCCCAGAAGCTGTTTAGGACTTTCTCCATTAATCCCTATAAGAGCTATAGAGATGATATCAGTGCTGCCAGCGCCTATCTGCTCTCCAGTGGCTACCAGTACTTGGTACGTTATCATGGCTAGTGGTAGCAGTTCTGCAAATCTGTCCTAAAGCTTTCAGGGATACAGCATATTACAGGGTACCCCCCATTTATACATAGTACACCTGTACTAGCCCTCCCCTAAATCTGCTCTCAACGAGCCAACTTCCTAATTAATCAGAAAGGGCTGAGAGCCAGGAATGGTATGGGGTTATTCAATACAATCTTAATGCAGTCTGGATTAGCACATTTTGTGAAAATCATCTTGTTCCAAGTGAATTGGCAATTCTTATAATGCTTTAACTTTTCCAAATGCTCTGCATTTGTATCTGAAGCCGTTTTGGCATTTTAGCTATTAGAGTTATTTACTAAAGTGGGAAATGTGGAGAAGTCAAAGTTAATTTCAAATTTAAGACCAAAGCAGCTGACTTACAAACATTTCCCCAAGTTAGCTATGCTCCCAGTTCTGCTGTTTTGGTCTAAAATATTAAATTCACTTTGAATTCCTGACAAAATAAATAAACTGAATGTGGTTGTTCCCACATCATTGAACTCATTGGGGGTTATTTATAAAATCGGCACATTCGCTGTTATTTTGTTTTTTCATGTTTTCCTCGTGATTTTTCTGTTGGTTTTATTCAAAATACAGGATGAATGAGTAATATTACAAGGAAAAAAAAGATGCATTCACAATATGAAGGATTTTTTTATTTCTTGAAGTGACACTCCATTGAAAAAGTACAAAAAAAAATCAGTAATTTAATTTTTTTTGAATTGGAGTTAGATCTAAAAACATATGGTAAATTCTGCAGATCTCTTGTCTGCTGCCTTTGCAAGCCCTCCCCTTCTAACCCAGCCCAGATTTTCTGTGATTGTCCAATTAAAGACTCCCCAATGCAGCTTAATAAGATGTCTTTGAAAGGCAGGTGCTCTGGGTAATTGCTGCCTCTTGGGTTTAGTTCCACTGAGCTAACCACTTCAGCTTTTAGGATCTGGTGCATTCTTTTAAATAAAAATGAGGATAGTGAAAGTGACTTACCTGTTTTTGAAAATGCATCATTACACAGTTTTAGATAAATTTGTCAGGAAAAAAAAACCCACTCTAAAAGTTTAACTAACTCTTTAAAAGTTTAACTGTTTAAAATGACAAAAGAGAGGTGCAGGACAAAACTGTTGGGAAGGGAGCAAACGGGAAAAATTTGGTGCAAACTAAGGAAAATATTAGCACAAACAGAAGGTTCAACACAATTGTGACATGGAAGCAGCCACTTTTTATAAAGCACTCCCTTTCTTTGTATACTTATTACATATTGATTTGGGGGCTTACTTCTCATACCAAAAATATACATTTGTAGAAAGTAGATCCCACTAGGCATCTTAAAGTCCAGCCTCTGAGATGTTGATAAACTACAACTCCCATGATTCCCTGGGAGAATTTAGGTATTTCTTTATGGGGCATATCAGAGAACCACAGGGTTGTTCACTGAAAACTGAAATGCTCTGTAATGAATGGGGCACAGGGATATTCAGACTTTTAAAAAAAATCTTCTTTCTCATAACTAAAAAAAAGGCCAAACAAAAATCCATTAAAAAAAATGCATGCTTTAAAAATTAAAAATTTAAGAGTAATCCATTTTTTTTTTCCACTGAGAGGCGAGAGTTCTATGTTGACTAACTCCCCATTACTTTTATTGTCAGATAGAGAACTCTGAAAGGTATGCTTTCAATTCAAATGACAAAAAAAGAAAAAGAAAAAAAAAAAAGAAATTGTAATTGTATCACCCAAGCCATAACATCTTCATATGATTTCATTAAAATATACAAAAATTGGGACTTGTACTATAAATGGGACATGATGGAGCCTGTTAATCTTAGCCAGGAAAACAATTCATATTTTTAAGTCTGCTACACGGGATTTTCCTGTCATTTTTATACTTTTTTCAATGGTGGTTATAGGGGCAAACTTGTCCTCTGTATTCCCGTGTAGATCTACTTGTACTCTTGAAACATTCGTAGAACAAAGAACATGGAAAATAAATGTATCGATGTATACAATTTGCAACAAATTGGGTAACTAAAATTATAGATCAGGGTGGTGCAGTAGACATTGCTTACCTAGATTTCAGTAAGGCTTTTGACACTGTTGCACATAGAAGGCTTATCAATAAACTGCAATCTTTAAGTTTGGATTCAAATATTGTTGAATGGGTAAGGCAGTGGCTGAGTGACAGGCAACAGAGGGTTGTAGTTAATGGAATATATTCGAAGCTTGGACTTGTCACCAGTGGGGTACCTCAGGGATCTGTACTTGGACCCATTCTCTTTAATATTTTTATTAGTGATATTGCAGAAGGTCTTGATGGTAAGGTATGTCTTTTTGCTGATGATACTAAGATATGTAACAGGGTTGATGTTCCAGGAGGGATAAGCCAAATGACAAATGATTTAGGTAAACTAGAAAAATTGTCAGAATTGTGACAACTGACATTTAATGTGGATAAGTGCAAGATAATGCATCTTGGACGTAAAAACCCAAGGGCAGAGTACAGAATATTTGATAGAGTTCTAACCACAACATATGAGGAAAGGGATTTAGGGGTGATTATTTCTGATGACTTAAAGGTAGGCAGACAATGTAATAAATCAGCAGGAAATGCTAGCAGAATGCTTGGTTGTATAGGGAGAGGTATTAGCAGTAGAAAGAGGGAAGTGCTCATGCCATTGTACAGAACACTGGTGAGACCTCACTTGGAGTATTGTACACAGTACTGGAGACCGTATCTTCAGAAGGATATTGATACCTTAGAGAGGGTTCAGAGAAGGGCTACTAAACTGGTTCATGGATTGCGGGATAAAACTTACCAGGAAAGGTTAAAGGATCTTAACATGTATAGCTTGGAGGAAAGACGAGACAGGGGGGATATGATAGAAACATTTAAATATATAAAGGGAATCAACACAGTAAAGGAGGAGACTATATTTAAAAGAAGAAAAACTACCACAACAAGAGGACATAGTCTTAAATTAGAGGGACAAAGGTTTAAAAATAATATCAGGAAGTATTACTTTACTGAGAGGGTAGTGGATGCATGGAATAGCCTTCCAGCTGAAGTGGTAGAGGTTAACACAGTAAAGGAGTTTAAGCATGCGTGGGATAGGCATAAGGCTATCCTAACTATAAGATAAGGCCAGGGACTAATGAAAGTATTTAGAAAATTGGGCAGACTAGATGGGCCGAATGGTTCTTATCTGCCGTCACATTCTATGTTTCTATGTTTCTATGTAACAACTGAGGAAACAAAATTGGTTATTTGTACCCCACTTTTTTGAAGAATAAATAGCTTAGCTAGTAATTAAGTTAGATTTTATGATGATCGTTTCAAATAATGTTTTAATAATTGTTTTTCAATAAATGTTTACATTTTCTAAAAAGAAACAAATTCACTGGGCGCACATTCTTGGAAACAATTTGTTGTACAAAAAGTCTCAGCTATTCTTCTAAAATTCATTCATCTCTTTATTCGTTTACAGATGAAGCATATTAGAGGAATAAAAGACCAGTGGATAGAATAATTGGCACAAGTCATTAATTGCTTTATTGGCATTTCTATGTTGCTTGTCATTTTCAGCCTGTCAGGTTCAATAAATTATCAGAATGATGTCCCTCCCTTGTCTTTGATATTAACACTTCAAATGTCCATTCTTTATCCAACTTGTACTCAAAGGATCTGGGACACGTTTCAAAGTGATTCTATTCTGTTTAAATAAATGCTGCATTTAACGATCCAGTATGGGCTGTTTGTATATCATTTCGATTTTATACTCTGTAGACAATTAAACACATAATCTAATCTCATCTCTCTCGTAGTCTTCCTTTGCTGTAATTACGAATTTACTTTTTAGTTGGCAAAACAACTTTTTACATTTTAATTAGCTGTAATAATGTTTAAAGCACAGTTATGGTTTATTTATAAAGGACATTATTTCTGTTTAATGTTTTCTTAATCTGATCAGAGAGGGACAGAAACCCATTGTTCTATAGGTGCTGTGTGGAGATGAATTCTCAGCCAGTCCCATAGTACATCTGTTTCCTAATTGCCCTTTCTTTTTGCTGAGACAGTGTAAAACTAAAGTGTTACATGAATAATTCACAATGAACCATTCTGCAATGTGAATACGGAAAGTGATATCTGACTTTGGAGAGTCCAGTATGGCTCCATCCCTGCAGGATATTATTGAAGGATCTTCAATCAAAACTGTTTTGCCTGTGGTTAATGAAACATAACAAGGGGATAATCAGTGTTTTGACTACCGTTGGGTGGCTGGAGCATGGACTGGGCGTTATTGAAGACTAAGATATTGGTGACAGAAAGCTTAGAAGAAGATAGAACCCAAACTATTTTTAACTGTGAATGCTGAACTGTTTCCAAACCGTTCCAAAATAATGCAAATAGTGTAAATAACCTTTCCAATAGCCTTCTCTTGGATCAACAGCAACAAAAGATGTGTTTTAAGGGTTGAACTCAATGGACTTGAGTCTTTTTTCAACCAAGATCACTAGACTCGAATTTTCAGAATAACAGTTGGCATGTAACTGTAGAGTTTTTTGTTGTTGTTCACAGCCCACTCACTAAGACATTATAGCTAAGGTGGAGTTACGCTCCCTTTCACATTATACCAAATTCATACCAGGAGTAGTGAGTAGAAAGTGCCAGTTGATCGCATCCCAGCCTGTAACCTGTAATTGCCCATTATCACTGGTATGAATTTGGTATTGAGTAAGGTATGGTGTAACTCCACAGGTTCCATACTGCTGGAGACTGTTTTACTGTTAAATCGTTCAAAAGCAGTTTAACAATAAAACAGGGCATGGTGTCTGGGGACTCCATACATCATAACCACTTTAATCAGATGAAGCAATTAAAGTGCATTAGTCACGCATCCCAGAGGCCTTACTTTAAGTGCTGGGAGAGCATTTCTCAAAAATGGTTAGACACAAACAAATGAGGAGGGCATCACCCCAAACACTTGTTGCCA